TATAATGTATATATTATACATTGTATAGATAGGTATGAAGGTAGTTAGCAAATATAATACATATTTAATAAAAATATAAAAATGGGACAGTGAACAGGTGGATGAATTGCTTTGCAAGTAAATTTAAGAAATACATACACATAAATGTATATGCATGTGAAAATTTATGTTGATTGATGATCAATTTAAAAAAAAAAAATAGAAGTAAAATTTTGAATTCCTTTAATTTAATTGTGATTTAGAGTGATTTGGAATTCAATTTTTTGTTATATTCCTTGGTCTTTACAAAAATTTTACAACTTAAAAAATTCTTGCAATATTTTTTGGTAGCTTAAGTGTAAATTAAAAATTCGTCATTCTCTTAATTCAGCATATAAATTGTATAATTGCTGAATTGTATAACAATATAGTTTACTACAATTTTGAAGCTAACAATACTCTGTACTTATTAAATTTGCTGTATATATGTACTTGGTTCATAGCACTTATTACAATAGTTGGTTATACATATATAATTTCCATTTTGTCATATTTAAACGTATACGTACGTATATTATGTATACCCAAAAATGACAATAAACTGTCATTATATTAACTATACAACTATATGTAGAACTACGTTGTGAGTTATATCCCATTTGTTTCACTTTTATTGGCAATATCCCATTACTTTTCTTATTGCTAAATCGTATGTATGTAAAAAAGTTAAAACACGTTTTATCTACATAGGTACCTAAAGTAATATTAAAGAAAAACTAATTCTTGTGAAATTTTCCAAAAAAAAAAAATTAAACAATGACAATGCATGTTTTATAACAAATAGTGTTTTTCTTTTTCAATTTTCTTATTTTCAACCATTTATTAATTTCATTGACTATTTTTAATAACTATATTGACTTGAGTTGACTAATATACGTACAGTATATGTACATGACACGCTTTGTATTTTATTGCAATTTATACCATAAAATTTGATATTTAATTAAATTTTTTTTTTTTTAAAACAATTAAGTATAAATAGAAACATATGCGCGTTTATTAGATTTGTTCAATGTTATATTTGCGATAATAAAATTCAATATACTCCAAATAGGTGCTGCATAATATATAATTATATACGAGTAGTATACTGAGATATTTGTACATAATATATGCAATATTAAATATATAATTGGAAAATTAATTTTAAATTGAATTTACTATTTTTAATATACTGAATACTTATTTTACTGGACTAGATTATTGGAGAGTACAGTAAAATTTTAAAAATTATAATTAAAAAATTTTTGAAATATTCAATTATGTTTGTTTATACAATTGAATGTTACATAATTATATCTGTTATATATAATTTAATAATTATATCTGTTATATATAATTAAGTGGTATTGTTGTGCTTAAAATCATTGTTAGTAAATTCATTTTTTAACTGAAAGCCAACCAAAGAGCATTACGATTATGGCAGAAAAATTTAAATTTTTTAAAATTCTTTTAGCATTTTTAAAGATCACAATAGCTCTAAAAATACAGTGAAGATTTCTCTATCATGGCTATGTTTTATCGCAATCTGAAACTTCAATTTGCTGTTTCATTATATTTTAATAATTTTTTTAAAATATAAAGTCATCCTTCGTTTCATGAATTAGAAATAATTTTAATGAGTAAGGAATTAGAATAATTTTTTCTTGAGTTTTAAGATTTTGTATGACAATCCTATTTCTAGTCGGGAAATTGGCTGCGTAATCAATCTTCTTTTCTAAAATTCACTTCTAAATTAAATTAGCAAACTTTCTACTTCATACCAGCTTTTCAATTGATAATTATTTTAAAAGAATCTTATAAACAATATTTTAATTTAAATATCTTAAACATGACCATATAGATTAATATTAATGTAAACTGGAAATTATTAACTTTTTTTTATTAATAAACAAAAAATACTAATAAAAAATTCAATATAATTTTATAATTATTCATTCATCATCATTCATCAATTTATTTTCAATTTTTTCCAATTTAAAATACATATTTATTTTTGTATGTTTAATAAAGAAGCATTTTCATTAAAATTAATTAAAAAAACATTTTGCATTTATAAAAATTAAAAACAATTGAAATTGAAAACTGAAAATAATTGATATTGAAGAATTCTTGTATAATACGTAAAATATATATATTGTACTTCATTCATTTTATTAATTAATAAATGAAATATTTAAAAATTAAATGAAAAAAACTTGTGTTTTCAATAATATAAATATGGCAATGAATTGAAAATTAGAGTTTCTAATATAATATTAATTAACATAAACTGTGCTATAATTATAAATATGTGATATCATCAAATTAAATTTCATTAATTTCCTCCAAAATGAATTGAATAAATTTTCCAAATACATGCAGTTAACTCGTAATTAAATGAAGAATAAATTTCAGAAACCGGTTCTAATATGAAGAATATTACTATAACAATCGTATAACATAAATTTTTAGGGAGTAAAATTGAAATTTTAATATTTCTTATAAATTTTAATTTCTTGTGCAATATGTCAACTCTATTTCCTTCAAATAATACGTGATAGAATTTGTTTATTTTTTTTTAAAATTTGCAAAAATTTTAATGAAACAATAAAATATGGCTCAAAATTTTGTTAGCCCTTTGATCTTATATAGAATAGCTGTTATAACTTTATAAATAATATTGTTAAAATTTAGTGTATACGCAATTATGTGCATATTTTCAGTGTTACCAAATTGAATTTTTAAAACGAAGAGAGAGTAGGATTAAAAAACTTGACATATACAGTAATTTTATAGTCATTTACAGTTTAATTTGTAACAGACCTGGAGCATAATTTAATAAAAATAATCGAGAATTAAAAATATTCTATTTGACTACTTTCCATATACAAATTTTGCTCCGTTATACCGTTATGTTAATAAACTATAAAAAATATAAATAAGTAGATAGTATTGTTATATAATTTGAAACAAAATATAAATATAAAAATAAATAAATTTTTTTTATATATTATGCAATTGCTTGAATTTTTTTTATTATTAATTCATTTTATATTTAAATTATTATTTTATGTATATTAGTAAGTACTTATAATACGAAAGTCTATTAGAATATGCGCAATCTTTTTCTCTTTGACACTATTTTGACTATTTTGATAGCTGCACATGTATACAATAAAAACAATTAATATTCTAGGGCAAATTAGTTTATCAGTCTTTTTATTAAGCAAAAGAAAAAAAAATATTTATAGTTTTGATAACAAAAAGATTTTTATTGCATACATATATAAGTATAATAAAAGCAAAATACAAGCAAGTGTAATAAACTTGGTACTTTATGATAATTACTGCAATAAGACTTAAAATTTTAGAATTTGCTTATTAGAATTAGAATATCTTTGCCCTAAAACTCGACATTAATAAACAATTCGGTTTTTGAATTGTGTAGCAAAACAGTATAACTGCATTTTTGAACTCTTTTTAGGGTATTTTTGATATTTTATATTTTAAGAATAATATTTCACTATTTATTCAGCGAATTTTATATATAAATGTGCTAAACTTATAATAGTCATAATGTATAACCCAAAAATAATTGAATTTATCGATTACTCTAGTAATCAGTTACTCGCTTTTGTAGTTATTTTAAATATGTACAATATAATAATTACTGTTTACATGGAATTTACATATCAATCAAGTACATTGAGTTCAAGATCAAGTACAAATTAATTTTTTTAAAAAAATTCTAATAATTCTTCTATTATACATAAATAAGAATTATATAGAATTGCTTTCAATTACAATATAGAAAAGAAAAAATTAGTAAAAATTCTTATTGTTATTAAAGTAAATATTTGATTAAAAAATTTTTTTTAATTATATTTGAGATATCGTTAATTTATTCTGTAAATATTCAATAAAGAATTACATAAATTTAGGTATAAATATAAAACGGAATTATTTACATTTAAAAATTAATATTTAAATTATAATTTTAATGGTTATAGTTATAAAATGATAGAACAACCGTTTAAATTGCTTAAAGAAGATTTCAATGTCAAAATGTTTTCATATTGAATCAATTAAAGATATTAAAAAAATTCGGGAATTTAATTAATTTTATAATATTAATGTAGAACGTAGTTATTAATAAATATTAGTGTAATATCCGTATAATAGATATTAATTTCATATAACAACAAACTGTTTATATTTTAAAAATAAAAATTTTTGAGTTAATTAGATTGCAAACCTTGGCTTCAAAATTGCAATAATATTGTATCGCTACACGATTCAGCAATTACAACTTATAAGCTGAATTGTGTATTAATACCGTATCAATGTAATTTTTGAATTTTTTGAATTATATAATATTATATGCATTTTGATATAATATTATATAATTCAAAAATTATATAAAATAAATAAGATCCGAGGGCAATATTTGAAAAATATTAAGTGAATTAATATTCTGAATTTAATATTAAAATTGAAAGTGTAATGTATAGTCCTTATTACTTATTAATTATATATTGATTATTTTTCAATTTAGACTGACATCGGTACTTCATTCAATTTAGACTGACATTTAATACGTTCCAGCAATTGGCATTTATAAACTGAATTCTGCATTAATAAAATATTATTATTACATTTCCTATTATATAATAATATTAAAATTACATTTCTTCTTGTATTTTACTTGCAGATACTCAGCGCACAATGTTTCAGATTTGTTTGTATTAATAATATATATAAAAAAAATAAATATTATTTAATTTATAATATTATTTGTTTAGAAATTTTTTAATATCAAAAATATAAAATAATTAATTTAAAAAATAATAAAATATAAGATAAAAATAAATTAAATCTGAAATATTTGACCAAATACAATGGATAATAAAACATTGAATAAAATACAAGGACGTCAAGAATGTCCTGATCTTCCCTATACAACTGATTACTTAACTGGTATGATAAGCATTAAAAAAAATTTATTTTTTAAATATTTATTAATATTTAAATTCTTTTGTAATTTTAGATCTTAACATTTATACAACTTTATCAATTGTTTTAGCAATTATTGTATTTTTTATAAATATTGCTATATTTTGTGCATCAGTTACACAATCATTAAAACGTGTACGAAAATTATATTTAGGATCAACAATATTTTTATTATCATTATATCCAATTATATCATTTGCTGCTTTAATAACAATTTTAATACCAAGATCATTTTTAATATGTCATACAATAATGCATTTATTATTTACATTTGGTGCATTCATTTATTATAGACTTTGTATTTTATATGTAAATGGTTTAGAAAATTTTTTAAAAGAAGCTGATGCTGAAATTTTAAATGTACGTACACCACCATGTTGCTGTTGCTGTTTATGCATACATTCAATAGCATTAACAAAAAATCGAATGAATATATTATTTTATATGATAACACAATTACCATGTATACAATTTGTTATAATGTTAATATTAAATTTTATTTATGTTTATGAAGAGGTAAGCTTATTTTTATAATATTAAATTGTATTTAATATATTAATATTCAATATTTTTTTAATAGTCTATTTATAAAGTATGTAATTGGTATTTTGCACCATTTATGTTTACATCAATTTTAACTGGAGTTTGGGGTCTTAATATTGTGACAAGAATGGTTGATTCTCATGTAAAAAATTTAAATATGAAAGTAAGATTTATTGAAATTTTTTTTTTAATAATTTAATAAAAAATATTTTGATTTTCTTTTGTTTTTTTTACAGAAAAAATTTTTTGCTCTACAATTTATTTTAATATTTTGTAAATTACAATTTATTATATTAAATTCTAGTCTCGATGGAGTTTATCTTGGTTCTCAAGGTTATCCTATAACTGATACGGTATATAAACAGGGTATGTATTAAAAATTATATAAAAGAAAATTTTCAAATGATTTAATTTTCATTAATTTCTTTTATTTTTAGCTATCATTAATATTCTAATAACTTTGGAAATGATTCTATTATCATTGTTGGCTAAACAAGCATATAAGGAACCGACACATTTATAATTTTTAATTAATTATTTAATTATAATTGTAGAAAAAATGAACTTGTGATATATTTTAAGAGATAGACAAGTACATCATGCATACGTACATACTCACATATTATTAATAACATTAAATAAATTTCAATTAGGATAAGTTTTATCAACTTGCATGCATTTTAAGAAATTCATTAAATTACATACTTACATCAATCACATTAAAAATAAGATTTTTCTTTTTTTTTTCAGTCATTTTACTTAAATATTTGTATGAATTATATTTAAGAGTACAAACCATACTTAAATAATTTTATCAACTTGTATGTATTTTAAGGAATTATCATTATAGAGATAATTTTAAATTAAAATAAAAATGAAATTATGGAGAATGTAGTTTAATTCAAAATACAAGAACCTTACGCTTTATTATTCAATAAACTAAAGAAAATCTTCTAAAATAAGTTAAGGACTTGTTATTTATTAAATTCCAAAAACAGACTATCCAATTTCATATTGGCCTTGTGTCTTCAGAAAAATTACAATTATTGTTATTTTTTTTTAGTTATTTGGGCGAACTTAATCAACATTTAATCATTCTTGAAACATTTAATCTTTCGCGTAGAATTGATGTTTTGCGGAATTAATTTTATAATACATATTGATAAAACGAATTGATATTGAAAAATCCAATAATTAAAATCAGAATTCGTTTTCAAAACTGATCAAAGCATATCATATTCTAATTATACCTACTTTCTTGAAACCTACAAAAGTTGATCAAATTCTAAAAATGTTAAATGTACCTAATTACAATAATATACTAGCAATATTTAAATTTCTCATATAATTATTATTAAAATTTTTGTTTTATTTTATAAAAAGTTTTTGAATTTTTTAAATTTCATTATCACTATCATCCTCACGTTTAGCAGCTTGTCCGGCTTCAACTGCCATATCGTACCATGGAACTGGACTTATCTTATGCATTCCGTTTGTTTCTTTACCTACTAAACTCAATTCTAAACGAAAATCTTTGTCTTTAAGTTCATCATGAACTGAATAAATTCTACAAGGTAAATCAAAGACATTATTTGGTTCTATTATAAATTATATAAAAATATGAACATACATTTTTCCAGCGTTTTTGATCAATTCTTCGGTTGTCATATCTTTTATGTTCAATTTTTCGATTTCTGTTTTTGCTTGTTGTTTTGCCTTTCCGCTAGCACATCCATAATATCCCTAGTCAAAAATTAATATTATTTATGTTGTTTTCATAATTGCATAGAATATCTTACAAATGAGGAGCCAGAAGGTTCAATCTTATATAGCTGTGGACCAACATCTTCATCCCAAGAAGATAATATTATAGATACACCAAATGGTCTTACAGCACTGTACAAAGTGTATGCATGAATATAGGCAGATAATCTTTCATTTAAGGTTTTCAATGGAATTGTTCTTTCAAACTGAGTTCTATAATTTTGAGCCTCGTTCCTAGCAACTTGCACAATATAACGGCCATCAGCTAGTAAACCAGCTAAAACAAGTCCTATATTTTTATCGATTGTGTATATACGAGCTCCCGCACTCTCTTCATATAGAGAACTTGTAACAATCTTTTCGACGGCTAAAACTACTCCATCTTTACCACGCAGTCCAATCACAGTTCCGCTCTTTTCAACAGCTTTCGACGCATAATCAACTTGAAACACTCTTCCATCTGGTGAAAATTGGGAGGCTGATAAATCATACTGAAAATTAATAATTTTCTTAATTTTTTGCTCAATTTTATTGTAAGTAACTTATTTACCCCAGTACCAATTGAACTCATTATATTAATTTAATAATTGGAAAATAACAATATAAAATGCTGACAAAGATGACACCGCTTTTCCTTGTTTCTTCTAAATGTATTAAGCTAGGGTTATGTTATTTTTTATAACTGTCAGTAATTGTCAACTAAAGAAATTTCACTAAATTGACAGCAAAACAATAATCAGAGCTGCCATTTGTCAACGAAATTGTTTACAAATGTCATAATTGATATACTCTAGTACTTTATTCTATTTAATTTTTCATTTTGAATTACAAAACCATTTATTTAAATTATCTCAACATACGTTACCTTTTCTTCTACAGTTCAATGCATTTCCTTGTCTTGTTTAAAGCTTTCGGAAAAAGCTGAATGTAAATGTTTATGTAGAAAATAAACAAATTTGACAGTTTTGAGTTTTGACAAGTTTTCGATCCTTTCAATGAATTAAAAGAACACAGAATTTGATAAGAGAATGGAAAGAGTTACGATTTCCCAAAAACTTTTCTCGTTTTATTTTTAATATGCCAAGATTTTAACACAAAGTGTATTTTGAAAGTTATCGAAGTTGTAAAGGAAAAAAATCTTAGTATGTAATATTGAATTTAATGCATTTTGAAATATGTGGATGGCAAAGTTCTGCATATCTGTAGTTGGTACGCTTACATTTGTGCTCTCATAATTACATCAAATACTGGTAATTTCTATTGAAGTATGCTGGTAAGATTTTTTTTGATAACTGATGTCAAAGTCATATTGATATGAAAAATTAGAATTGTCATATATCTTAAAAATGGGAGGCTTCATAAATAATTTTTCAAAAAACTGAGAATTATTAAACTAATTTAAAAAAAAAAAACAAATAATTTTAAGAAATACGAAGTCGCAGAAAATTAAATAAAGTTTCCACTAAACTGTTTATTAAAATAAAATTAAATAAGAGAAGCTTAGTAAAGCATAAAAGGTCAAAGATTCAGCGCAGGAAGTGAGTAGAAATTTAGGTATTTTAAGAAAAAATAAATACTTAAAAGGATTTAATAAAAATTCCTGGAATTATAATTTGTATACATACTTACATACATATTTTTGTGTATTATTATGTCATCCAGGTTTTAAGATTAGCTAAGAATGGCATTATGTATCTTGTTTTTATAATAAATTTATATGATTCACGTTAAAGAGGTTTACATTTTTGATTTGGTGAACTCATAATTGTGTCTTCTTAAGATAAAACTTTAAAACTGTTTATACAATTTCAAATTAAAAAGCTTTTTTTTTAAATAATCTAGAATTTAAGTTATAAAACAAGATGCCACGGCATAGTGGCCTAACTGACTTTGATAATGTAAATCGAATAAGAGCCAACAACATCTACAGTTGCAATAATAGTGGCGGCTGTTCATATCCAGATGAAGTCATAATGAGTTCCGGTGTTTCTTTTAGCGTTCGGGTAATATGATTCATTATGCTATTAAGTGTGAGGGTGAAATTGATTTTGATTTCTTTTTAGTATATTGGATGTGTAGAAGTTAAAACTTCGATGAAAACTTTGGATTTTGGAACAAGGTCTCAAGTTGCAAGGTATATGTGTATATTAATTTATTGTTGTGTCATATTGCAATTATGTTGTAATAAAAATATTTTAGAGAATGTATTAATCGAGTCTGTGAAACAGCTGGCCTTAAAACTCAAAAGAAAAGACGTCTTGATAAGGATATATTGCAGTATATATCGGAGCATCCGTGTATGGAAAATGCAGGAACAAATGTTATAATAAATGTTTCAAGTAGGGCTTTAAATTTGGTAAACAGTGAATCTGGTGAAATGGTTGCAAATCATGATATGCCCAAAATATCCTTTGCTTCCGGTGGAGACTCTGATACTGCAGACTTTTTAGCCTATGTTGCAAAAAATGATGATGGTTGGAGAGCATGCTATGTTCTAGAATGTGGCGGTGATCAAACACAAGACTTAATATTGACCATTGGGAAAGCATTTATGTTAAGATTCAATGCTATTAATAAATTGCAGTAAGTTTGGTATTTCAAAGAACTATTGAAGAACTATTGAATCGATATTTCGTAATATTTTTTTTTGTTTAGTCCTTGCGTTGATAATTTTAACATTGAAAAAGATAATGAAAAAGATTATTACAACGATCTTCCTGGAAAATTACCACCGGAACTGTGTGATAATGATTTACCTCAGCAAATGGCAACAAAATTAAATATAAAAAAGCCAAGAGAGAGACTCAGCAGTAATTTAATTGATTTGAATAGCCCTCCCCCAGATTTTGAGATGAAAAAGTGTGATTTAAATTTGGATGCCAATAGTAACACTGCAAATAATCAACAGCAGACCAGAATTAGAGATGTTTTTGATATACGTAAATATTTCAATAAACAATATACAAATATTTTAAGATTCATTTTTATTATTCAATTTTAGAACCATTTTTATTGTCAGCGGAAGCACAAAAAGCTCAACTTCTAACAGAATCATGGTTCCATTTTGCAATTGGTCGTCCAGAAGCTGAATCTCTTTTAAAAAATGATGGTGATTTTCTTGTACGAGAGTCTCAGGGTAAACCAGGGCAATATGTATTAACAGGACTCGAAGGAAACAATCCTAAACATTTACTTTTGATTGATCCAGATGGAGTTGTACAAACAAAGGATCGTGTTTTTGATAGTATTAGCCATCTAATAAACTATCATTGGACGAATTCATTACCTATTATATCAGAAAAAACTGAATTGGTCTTAAGAAATCCTGTGATTCGAACTTCAATAAAAACACAACAGCAGCAACAATCTATTATTGTTTCACACCAGGAGCAGTTGAAATGAAAATTAAAGAAAAAGGAAATTTGTCGATACAGGTATTAGCAATGAGAATAATATTGAGATTTCAAACAGATTGTGTAAAATTGTTAAAAAAAAAAATCAGTGAAACTTAACATACCTAATTCTAAAAAGAAAAACAAAGAGGAATACTAAATAAAACTTAATAATACTTATAAATTTTAAGTAACTAGGTTTGAATTTAGAGTTTTCAAAAATTAAAAAAACTTAAAACTTATAAAATTTAAAGAAAAATTAAATGCACAGGTTTGCAAACAAATTGAGAAAATAAAACAAAAAAAAAATAAATAAATTTATGTAGAAGCACACAGGGATCATGACAGACTATTATATTTGGTAGAAAGCTTTTTTAATTTCTTTGAAAATGTAAAAGTGAGTAGGTTCAAAAAAAAAAAAAAAAACTATGAAATCGAAACATGTATACTTCGAAATTTTTTAGAAAAAATTTTAATGTTCATGATTATCTTTTTTTTTTTTTTAGAGAAACATTTTTTGTTGTAATGTGTTCACTCTATCTTATGGTATTTTTACTTTTTTATTTTCAATTTCCTAATCTTTTTAACTCAAACTTTTCTAAAATTAATCGTTAAGGTATTTTTTTTATAATGAAATATGTATATTAATATAAATTTTGTAAGATTTTTTACAATTTTCTAAATTTAAATAATTTTTGAAATGCATTTATTTTCATATTTCACTATTTTTCTAAAAGTATTATTCTCTTCTTAGCTCTCTAATATACATAATATCATTAAATTTGTATAGTATTATTCCTAAAGTGGCCAGAATAATTTAATTGTGACATCGTTATCATATTATATAAATTATAAATTGTAAGACATTTAAAGCATTTAAGAAAAAAAAAAATTCCATTTTTTATCAACCGTTTTCGTAATACTATACAAAATACGAATATATAAAAGTATACTATTATATAAATATTATATAATTTCATTAAACATATTAATTAAATCTTACAAAATTTTATAATTATTATTTTCTTATAATCCTTTATTAACAGTGTATTTTTATATATTTTTGCTATAATATGCACTGAAAATAATATTATTTTTTTTTAAACTTTTTGTACGTACATATATTTGTAAAAAATGAAAAAAATAATTTAAATGTTTCAGTGATAATTAGATAATAAGGAATTAAACAAAAAAAAAAAATTATTTTAAAACAAAAAGCAATTTTATTGTGTTTTTATTTTTGAAGAAGAACAAGAACAAAGAAAGAACAATTTTTTTTTGTAATATTAAAGAAATTTATTAATGGAATTGTATATGAAATTTGTAATTTGATACTTCGAATGAAATTTTCTATAATTATAAAAATGAAAAAAAAAAATTTGTTTTATTATAAAGCATTTTTTTTTTGAGAGATTATTTATGTAGTAATTAATTCACTTATTTAAAATTAAAAGAAAATTATAACTTATATATACATAATAATATTTTTTCATACATTAAAATATATTATTTGCTAACTATTTAGTAATTAAACAAAATAAAAGGAATAAATTAATATAATATTATAAAATAAAATTTAAGTAAGATGTAAACTTCCATGAACAATATTTATCTAAATATATTATATAATTATAATATATTCTTAAATTCATTGCAAATTATTATAAATAGATATATTTTTCTTATAGAGCAATTTACATATAATATAATATGAAAAACTTATATTATTATAAACATATACAATATGAAAGTTAAATAAAAAAAAAAAACGTCAATTTGAAATCAAAACCGAATTTGTTTGATTTATAAATATAATCGTGCATAGATTTAATTGTGATTAAATAAAAACAATTAAATTAAATTAAATAAATAAAATTAAATAAAATGTTCTTTAAAACAGAAACATTTTTTCTGTTTTATGATTTAATTCTAGAAATTATGTAGAATTGTAAAAATTCATAAAAGATTTATTGTATATTGAATACTGTAATATTTTCGAATAATATCTTATCTCATCTCAACTGATGCCCTTAAAAAAGTGTGAAAGATTACGTTAAAGACAAATTGTACGTCTTAGATGGGCACAACTTTAATTTATTGTGAATAAACTCGAATATTTGAAGAACATTTATATTTAACTAGCCTTTATTTTTTTAAGTTTAAATGTTCTACTTTTGTACAGTGACTATAATAGTATAAAAGTTTTAATTTAAAAGGAAATATTGTGCTATTTGGTTCTTTATTATTTCCATTTGTCTCAATTATAAAGTACTTTTTAATACATCTAAGTCAAAATTTAGAAATTCTTTGATTTTAAGAGCCTCATGTTATTTTTTTTATATTTATTTTAAATAATTGATTCAAATTATTTAAATTTTATTCCATACCTTTAAAAACAAAATATAATGTACATACAATGAAAAGGAGTATGAGAGAGAATTTAAAAGGAAAGAAAAATAAATATGTAAAACGGAAGAGAAGAGAATAAAAAAGAAAAAAATTAATGTGATAATAAAATCCAAATATCCCCAAAATGAATCTAATATAACAATTTAAACCGGTCGTTATATATTTTGTTTGTAGTTAGATATAGATATAAAGATGTAAAAAGTAAAAACTCTCAGCAAAGTAATATGATAAATTATAATGAAAAATAATAACAAAAAGAAAAGATTTCTAATAAAAGTCATATATTTTATATTAGTATATGTATAATTACTATGATGAAATGATGATTATGTGTTATATAAAGTAAGATTGTATATCTTTAATACGAATACAAATACTAGTAGACCTTTAGTAGAACTTTTTTTCTCGAAAAATAAAACAAGAAATGAGTAAGAAACAAAACATTAAAATAGAAGATATCTTATCACAACACGCTTATGCTTTACCATTTCTCAAACAAATTCAAAAATTGAAAGAAAATACAAGAAAATGAAGAAATAAAATAAAAAAAAATAACAAAAAACAAGAAACTTCCACAATAAGAGAAATATTGTTGGGGACAAAATCACTCAGGTGGTATCCGTTTCATCGTTTCACAATACATTCAAAAGAGGAGTAAAATTGGATTCTCTTTTTTTTTCTGTTATACATATGTATATCATATATTTTATATATTCTCACATTAGTTTTTGTTGAGGAATTTTATACCAATTTACATACATACATATTTTACTGTTTAGAGTGCAATATAGAGAAAAATGAAAATATTGTGTTGTAATATAAAAAAAAAAAAAAAACTAAAAGTTCCAGCAGCAGCAACATCATCATCACAACAGTATATAAGTATTTTATTTGGAGCGAAATTATTTTTCAATTCGCCAACAAATCGTCGTCACACACATTCATTTAAACAATAATAAAAATTTCAAAAGCAACAGTCTTCTTTTTTGTTTTTCTGTAGGAGCAGAAATATGAAGAATTATTTTAATATTAATTTTTTTTTTGTTTGTTTGTTTTGTGCTAAAAAAGGTCTTCACTATTTATTTGTAAATTCAGTTGTGTTTAGAAGGTGATACTGATCGGATCTTATTATTATATAATTAATTGGTGTTAATATTTTATATTCTCTCTTTTCTCAATTTAAATAATATTAATATAAAATATAAATTATATACGAAAAATATGAAAACAGAGAGGAAGCAAAAAAAAAAAAAAAAATAGTAGAAAAAATGCGCGAAAAATTTATTCAAAGTGAATTTTGATTTTTTTATTTTGAAAAAAAAAAAATTATTTTAATATTTGTGAAATTTTTTATTTTTAAAAATTTTTAAAATTAAAGAAACAAAAAAAGTGTTATAAAAAATTATTTAAATACAAAATTGTTGTAATTAGATGATAAGTGAAAATAACGGTGTTGCAAGAGGATTAGGCTTATAATGAAAGTTATGATTAAGAATATTTGAATTGTGGTTTGGTGAGACACCTACTTGAAAATTTCGAGACTCGAAATTATTGTTTTGTTTAATTATATTGTGCTGAAAAAAATTATTCGGTGTGTAGTGCATTAAGACAAATATTAAAAATTTTTAAATAGAAAATGAAATTTTGATCCTTTTTGCTATTTTGTTTATATTATTTTAATATAATAAATTAATTTGTGTGAATTTATGGTTGTATTGTATATCTACCATGGGTACAATTACTACTTATTAGTTTTACGTTTCAAATGTTTCGATTCTAAATATTCATTTCGAAATCTGCCTAAAATAAATTTATAATTAATTGAGTATTAAAATTTCTTTAATATGTATATTAAATTTTATTAATATAAACGTAGTATAATTAATATATTTAAGTTTTTGCACGTATAACATTTAGTATATGCACAACATTTTTAAATACTTTAAGATTTATAACAGAAAATAATGTATATTGGTATGTTCATCTGCTATAATATTTCTAGTAAGCTGCTATAAATACAAGAATGTAAGAATATAATCACGTATAACAGTTATAAAAATATAATATAAAAAAAATTTTATTCTCGTTATTTTTTTTTTGTTTTTTTTTTTTTTTTTTTAGAGGACTCAATTTTTAAGATTACAGGAATAAAATAAGAAATATACATATATATATATGTTAAGAAAAATAAATGCACAAATATACATAAATAAAAACATTATACGTAGGTATATGACTCCAAAAAGAAAAAAAAACAAACAAACAAAAAAATAAAACTATTGAAGTAAGAATAAAAGCAAAACTGCATTCGCGATTCATTTAATGGCAAATCATATACAATAAATTAAAATATACGATATATAGGTAGAAGGTAGAGAGATCCTATATCGTATATGTGCATTTTAAATGTTTTCTTTTCGTTTTGTTTTTTCATTAAACAGATATACGTAGGTTAGTTACTTAACCTACTCACTTACTTGGTACAGTTGTTTTTCTTATTTTACTCGTATTTTTATTTATATATATATATATAGCTGTACCTATATTATTATTATCTGAAATAAGAAATGAAAATTCTCGTTTTTCAGGATTGCATTTCGAATTTTTTTTTTTTTAATTCTTTGTTCTTAAACTTCATATATGTAATATGAATTAATATTGTATATGAATATGAAAACCATATATATTTAATGTTTCCGGCAATCAATATATTATATAAATATTTTGAAAAATATGTACGCAAATGTAATATATTGTATAAGTATATGGATACATATATGTATAATATTTGTTCATTTGTATTTCTATTTTATATAATTATTTAAATATAGCATCTATAAAGGATTTGAGAGATTCCAGTGTTTTCTATATATTACGCTAATAGTATTTTATGAGAAAATTTATTTTTTATTTTTGATGGAAATTTGTAATTAAAGATAAAATGGAGATTTCGAATTTGTGTATAGCATTCAAATTACATCTTGCAACAGTACCATAATTGCAGTAATAATTGTTTTGTTCAGCCACATTGTTATGAAAATCATAAATTAAAATGATTGCATATTTATAGGCCCAATATGTATCAGATTAATATGTTATATGTTGTTCATAATGTAACGTCGACAACGCTAGCGCAATGCAAAACGAAGCTTACGCAACGCTATCGTTATTGGCAATTTATACAATGTATTGGAGCTTTGAGTTGTGGTAAAGCTGCGTTGTAGCTTCTTAATGTGAATAAGATTACTATATTTGCTGTAGTTAAATTTTTTTCAGTTGTGCTAGCATTGCGTTACTTTGCATTGGAAATCTAGAGCTAAGTCTAATGCGTAAGATAGCCATCAGAGTAGCCATGTATAACTTCAATATAATATACTTGATTATTATTATTATTAATATACTTGATTTTTAGTCAAAATTTTATATATGAAAGAAAATGTTTAATTGAAGTACGCATAATTATTGTTATATAATTAATGTGTATAATTTGCTGGTAACATATAATTATGATTATAATGAATATATTTTTTTTT